AGAAGTTCTCACTCAGGGGGCATAGGGGGGAGACTTTGGTGTGTGGGAGGGTCCCAAGGGCGTCGAAGAGGGTCTCACTCACGCTGCATCTGAGTTTGGACTGGATAGGTCCCGCAGGCGCAGGATAGCCCTAGAAAACTTAAAAATGACCTTTAATTTCTAATGTTCACTGGTTTCTTGGGCTTTTCAAGGGCTTTTAATTTCCTGTAATTGAGGTACATGTTTGGTCTTTTGGTCATTAAGTGAACTCAGATGTGAAGAAACACTTTCATTTGGAATTCAAGAACTGATTTAATTTCTGCCATAGAGATTATTTCTCTTTCTGTAAAATTTGTTTTCTCTGTGCACTGCCCCAGAGTAGACTATCCTCCCTTTCGTGGTTGGCCAGTCCCACTGTGTGAGTAGGGAGGGTACTCACTTATACTCAGCTTGGGGAGACCTAAGTTCCTGCTAGACATACACAAGCATTGTATAGTATCACCATAGAAGAAAACTGCTCTAGTTGACTTGCATCAGAAGGGAACACATAACTGTGCGTGGTGGCACATGCCTCTCATCCCTGCACTCTGGGAGGCTGAGGAGGTGGAGTACAAGTTCGAGCTCAACCTCTGCAACCTAGGGACTTAGTCAGATCTTGTGTCTAAATAAATCAATAAGCAAGGGCTATGGGTGTAGCTCAATATAATGGCCCTAAGTTCAATCCTCAGTAACTCTTACACACACATATGTGCAGGAAGAAAAGGCAAATGTTCCTTTCATGGAGTTAGAAAGATAAATATGCATGTAGCTCCTTATTTTGCACTCTTCATTCTATTTTTGTAGCTTATCAGGACTTTCTTTACTGTGTCTCCCTTCTTATAATTTACTGCTCTGTGCTAATGAGCATTCTCTGAAAATCTCCTCTCGTGGAATGCACTGTCCACATGCCTGGCCTGCCTGGCCCACCCGCTCTTCTGCTGATGGAGTTGTACGTATTGGTTGTCCTGCCATGGACATTCATCACTCAGGGCATGGCATTCTTGTGGATCAAATATCATCAGCTCTGTGTATGTAGGGATCAACATTTGAGCATTCCTTTGATGTTGCCCCTCATGACACTCATTGGCTAAATCCAAGCTTTTGCTATTTGACCACGTGCCAAATGTGCTGGCCCAAGTATCTGTTATCTTACAGATAGCTGGGAAAGAAAAAAGGATAAAATAATAACTGAAAAACTATTTCAAACTCTTTGCAGAACTAATTAAGGTGCAGTTTTGATTCATTGGAAAGGTAGTCCAGCAGCATGCTCTAGCCAATGATGAGCTAAGGTCTGACAATTTTGAAAAATCCATTTAGCATATACTATGTGCCACTATATGTATGATATTATGTATCCAAAGATGAACAAAGTTCTTATAATACTATTTAAAGCATCTTCTGGTTCTCATCTGTGGACTATTGTACAAAACATATTCTCTTTCCTTTCAAGCCTTTGCAGCATTTGCCTTTGGTTGCTTCCCAAAGGGTCTGCACCATTTTTATATGCTCATTACCATTGTCTGTAAGGTTTTCCTTACTAGTGCCAGCATTATTGGGCACTTACATTTTTTTTTCACTTATGCAACAAAGTGTTTTTGAGAAAAAACCACAAATTTAACAATTTATCTATTAAATTCACACAATAACTGCAAAGTCAGGAGTTCACACATGAACAGAGACTGGTAAAGACTGAGTGACTCGCTCAGTCCACCACCCATTACCAGAGCTGGAATTTGAACTTGCTTTTTCCAAGTCCCAGCCTGTAGTGTTCTACTGCATTGCAGCTGCCCCCAGCTGACAGGATGGGGCTGGACTAATGAGCCCTTCAAAATAAGCCTGAAGGGGCTCGGTGGTACGTCTATAGAAAGATGGAATAGATGAGCAGGACCAGAGATTAAAATTTCCAAACGGCTCTGTTTCCTTAAAAATCAAGCATTTCCTAAAAAGGAATGAATAAATTTTGATTAATTTGTTCATGCTGTTTTATCCTCCTGGATATACATTAAAAAGATTTAAAAGGAAAAAAAGCATGTTATTTAATAGTGCCCAAGAGCTGGAATATTCTAGCTAAACACAGATACCCATGAGTACCTCAAGTTGGAAGTTGTTCATGTGTATCTCAAGGCAGAATGTGGCCTTTTGACTTTAGTCTATTAAACACAAGGAAATTCATAGTTAAAATTCCTCTCTTAGCTCCCCAGCCAAGATGGGAACGGTCATAGCCATAAAACATGATAGACAAGGCTACCACAAAGCCAAATAATCTGTTGACATGGTAGAGTAGGATGGTCAAGCCACAGTAAATCAAAGTCTTACATTCATTTTTCAAAACGGGCAAATAGAGTAACAGTGTGTGCATCATTCTTTACAGTGAGAAGTTGATAGGTTTGCAGCAAACTAGAGCAGGGCGTGTGGTGTAAATCACAGATGCCTCCTAGGTGGAGGGTGTTTAGACACTGCAGGGATCCATTTAGATAGCTGTCTTGGGAGAATGATTTGGGACCACGTGCTGCTGCCTTATTTGTGGGGATGAAAAAGAGAAAGTCCCTGCTTGGAGGTCACATTCATGGAAAACAGCAGGGTCTGCCAGCACCAGCTCCAGTGTGTGGCTTTCAGACACAGCAGTTTGTACTTTACTCCTCCAGGGGCCTCCTGGGAGTTTAGAAGGCTCGAAAATCAGTGTGAATTCATGGCTTGCCTAGATAACAAAGTAAGTTCAAGGCTGGCCTAAACTGCATAGTGAGACCCTGTCTCAAATAAAATGCCATTATCTAATCAGACCATGACTTAATGCACATTGAAAACAAGATAGCTGTAACACGTCACCCACACATTTATTTTTAAAAGATAGGATTCTGAATGTGGACAGTAGGAAGAATGTCCTGTTAGGAGGAACCACCCAGTTCCATTAGTTACCTGCAAAGAGGGTTGGTTTCTTTAAGTGGCTTGCTAACTCCTCTAGAGGCTGGGATGGAGATGAGATGCTGCTTTGGTGTGTCCTTCAGTACTGAGCTGCTGCCTTGGATTCATCTTTCCTTCAAGAAGAAAAGTTGGAGGGCAGCAGGATATATCTGCAGAGAAATGAATGTCTTCCCTTGGCCTTTGCTTTATAACCAAGTTTTTTTTTTTTTTGTATTTTAGTAAGGGTTTACAGGTCTCATTGCATAGATTGGACTTATCATGATCCACCTGTGTGCAGTCTCCCACAAGCTGAGATTATAAGGATGCACCACCATGCCCAGTCTCAGTTGCTCACTCAGTGTGCCCCAGGGGTGGGGTGGGCACAGCACACTGGGGATTGAACCCCGGTTCCTGAGTCTGCCTAAGCAGGCACTTTAGTCCATTGCGCTATTTGGCCAGCCCCCAAGTTTTAATTTTAAACAGTGAAGAATGCTGAGAAAGCAAAAACAAAGCAGTTTAGAAACAGCTTTAATTAGAAAACTATAGAAAGATGTCTCCTACCCACCAGTGTATTTTCACAGTCATGTGCCCAAAAGGCCAGGCGATAAAAATGTGGATCCAGGAAAACTCTGCCTGGAACAGTACTCTTGGTTTGCCAGCTGCTGGGCTGAGCTCTGGGGGTGTTTTCTTCAGCTTAGGTCCTGTGACTGCTCTCCTGTCATGAACAAGTGCTTCATGTCACCTCCTAACGTTGCCCAATGTGCTAACATGTACTTCTGAGGCTCAGGCCCAATGTGACACTCAGGAATGCCAGTAAGGTCAAGCAGAGTTGGCCAAGATGACTGTCCTGCCCAGCTCAGTGGAGCTAGGGAAGAGCTGACCCTCATTTTGACCCCTGTTGTTTTTGGAAAGCAAAACCCTGTTGGTTTTTACTAGTGGGTGGTCCCTTATGTCTCCTACTACATTCCAAGTATTTCCAAAACCTCCTGAGAGGTAGGGATTCAGCCAAATGAGCACATGTCATGTCCTGACTGACATGGGGAGGCTGCATGGCACTGTCTCTTTCTCCCTCTCCTCCTTCCTTTTTTTTCTGTGATGTCAGGTTGAACAAGGCAGAATTCGTGAATCTGAAGGCCTAACATTGCAGGGTTTTGTTTTTGTACCCCTACACTTAAAGTTGTCTAAGATTTTTCCATAGCTCACCAGGATTAGTAAAAAAATTGTAAGAAGACCTCCTAATTCTTGTCATTTATATATTTGCAAGTCATATACTTGAACCACAGATGTTCTATGATTACAGAAAAGACAAAATTGTAATAGAGAAAAGAGATGAAATGATATTGTTTGGGGTTGTTGATGGTACAAAAGTTACTTTGGCTTTTACCATCCTATTAGGGTAGTATACTCATTTTATATTGTGATAGGACTGAATTGCATATGCACAATTTTAAAAACTTGGTTTAACACTATGTGGTATGATTCAGAAGTCTGTTACTAAGTCCAGTGCTAAACAATGGTAAGGGAATTGCTGATTCTACTTACTAAGCTCACGGCTTATTTTTCCAATTTCATTTGTCAGTCACTGAAATTTTTCTAATAAATTTCCACATGCTTTAGTGTCATGAGCTAATCAAAAGGTGCTTCTCATTTCTCAGAGAGAATCAGAAGGCAATCTAATTGGTGCACTATTTTTACATAAACAGATATAGATATTGCTACAGTCATAGGTATCTGTAGATATAGATATAGACATGGATATAGATACACACAAAGCTCTGACATTATATATTTGTAATATTTTAAAATAATTTAGAAAAAATTTATTTCCCAGTTTTTCAAATGTATACATGTTAGAATGATTAATAGAGACAATATTTTCAAAGACAAATTTATAAAAGGGTGGAAATATCTCTAAATATCCCCTTCCAAAGTGTTCTTCCCATAGAATGCATTTCATTGTCAAAGCAGACAGTTCTGCCCTGGTCCATTGCCAGTGCTACCTGGGCTGGACCAACTAAGTGTCTTTATTTTTGAAAAGTTAACTTCTAGCTTCTTGTCGCCATAAAAGTTCCAGAAAATGCTCTTTATATACCAGTGTCTCAGGAGGGGACTCACTCGATGAGCTGTTCTGGGTGTTTCTGCCAGGTGCAACTGTGTTGTAAGAAAAGCTAGGGCGAGCTGGGAGAGAAACAAACGAACCCACCTAAGCTCCTTCAACCAATACCTGGTGCCCTGGACCAGGTAACAAAGAATTTAATTCAGTCAGTTACTGAGGCATGGGCACAGTTTGGGCAACCAACTGTGACAGGGAAGCAAGAACAGGGAGCCCTGCTTCCTCTCCCCTAAGCCTGAAGGAGAAGGGGGCCTCATGATCCCAGCCCGGGCAAGTACTCTTACCGGATGAAGGCACAGTGACATTAGCCATGGCACTGATTTAATCTGAGTAGGTGGCCCTAACAGTGTGTTGCAGATCAGTGGCCTAAATGACACAAATCTACTTTCTCAGAGTTCTGAAGCCTGAAAGTCCAAATTCAAGGTGCTGGCAGAGTTGGGGTCTCATTAGGCCTTTCCTTATAGTCTTCTCTCTGTGCCTTCATGTCATCTCCCTCTGTACTTGACCAAATTTCCTCTTAAAAGGCCACTAGTTATATTAGATAAGGGCCCCCCAATAATCTTATTTTAACTTAATTACTTCCTTCAAGGCTCCATTTCTAGATACAGACCCATGCTGGAGTATGAGGGGCATAATTTAGTCCATGACAGGGACACTGCCCATTTGTGGTCCAGAGGGAGAAGGCTATCAGACCTCAACTGATCTTTCTCCCAGCCCACCCACCATTATCTCTCACCAGCTACCCACAAGGGGATGTCAAAGGTAAGAACGCCTGTGCAAGGCCACCCCTGAGGGTCAGCCTGTTAGGATCTGGCAATGAATAAGAGTGATCTGCAGGAGCAAACAGAGGATCCAACTTATAGAGCCACCGTGCTGAACTGAGAAACAGATTTCTAAGGGTTTCTAATTAATTTCTAATTTAACACAGAAAGAAGGAAGTGGAAGTAAGGATCAGAATGAGCTGGTTGCTTTTGTGGATTGTAGAAAGGATGTTAGGTTACTCTCAGGGAACAGCCCTTTCTTGCTTAGCTTTGCATGTTACCACAATGTGAATATTGTGCACAGCACTGGTCCTTGTGAGAAATAGAAAAAAGGCATTCGCTGGGGGCAAACAAATGAGAAAATGTGCTTTCTGCTGGTGTAGCCGTGGTCTTGGTGCACAGCTTCTGGTGAGTTCCCTCTAGGTCCTCTTCAGCCAAACAACTTAACGTGTAGTTTTTGATGTTAGGTCTGCTATTACCTGCAAATTAGCACCCTTCTAGTTGCACATGGGGGAAAAAAAATCAAATTTATCTATGGAAAACTTCACATTATCATTGGTTGTTCTCTTGGGTCATTCAAACTTCTTTGGCTAGAAATTTCTGGATAACCTGGACTTGGATATGAATTTGGTGGCTTTCCACCTCACGAGAGTACTTGGTATTCATTCAGAACATTGCTCCTTGCTATGCTTCTGATAGCCTCATTTCAGGAGTTCAGAATTCTTGGCAAACATGCCTATAAACATTGGATTCTCTTTATCCATCAAATAGCCTGCAGCTTGTGTTGAGAAGGCTGCACATAGCACCTCCCCAGCAGGTGCCACTCGGTCACTGTAAATTTGCATGGTCTAGTAATTTTCTGACAGGTGACTATAAAGACTTCTAAGAATAGGGTGCCTCCTTCACCCCCAGTGGATATAGAGTTGCAGTTTGGGTAACTGGCAGGGTAGATACCTATGTGTGTTAGGCACTGGAGTAGGACTGGAGAATGGAAAGGACCCAGTGAAGCCTCACACGTGGCCTCAATTTCTCCTTACTGTAAAGAAAGGACACACATGGTTGCCCCTCAGCCTCAGCCTCAGTCCAGGTGCATGTCCTCCACCTTCCCTCATCCTCCCTGGCTCTGCAGGGGAAGCATGAGTCGAAGGTCAGTGAACAGAATGCTCCACCAGCCTACCCCATTCAGGCAGGGGTGACATCAAAACATGGAGGCCTCCCGTTGGATTGAAATATGAGATTGACAACTAGTGGAGGCCAGGAGAGGCAGGGGAAATGTAGACGCCAAGGAGACTAAGTGGATGCTAAGCAATCATGGGCCAAGCAGTAGCCTAGTCAGCTCCACAGCTGCCTTGGCTTCTATGGAAGCTACTAGGACAATGCTGACTCCAGAGACCTGGAATATTGCACTTCATTCTTGCTTAACTGGGTTAGGCTCCTTCTCTTTAGTGGGGGAAACAAATACAACTCAACATGGTTGCCATTAATGCTAGTTATGCTCCAGGCCCAGCCAGTGGCCTTATGCCTCCAAGGGGCAGCCCCTCTCACCTGCACTTCACAGTCACTGCTCATCTTTGCCAATATTCACCCTTTCCTCCCTCTATCCACTAGATTCCTACTGCTGTCCTTGGCATAGCAGGTAGTGGAAATCTTTGGGGGAAACAACATTATTTCACTTAGCCTGAGGGTGACTACCACTTTGCAAACATTTTGGCATCATCTTGTTAAACTGAAACTGGGCATGAGCCATGATCCAGCATCGCCCTCCTGGCCATGTTCCCCAAAGGAATACATGCACGCATGCACCTTAAAATAGATATGAGCACATTTACCAGAGCCTGCCTGTAACAGATCCACACTGAAAAGAGCTTATTCAAATGTCTTTCAAACATAAAGTAGCAGTGGAAAACTATACAACCAAAAATAAGTTACAGGTATGCAAAAATGCATGATGAATTCTTAAAAGATCTAATAGTGAACAAAAGAATTGTGGCACAACAAAATATTCAAGTCATGATTTCATTGTATACAACTCAAATAGATGTAATTATATTATGCGTTAAGGATTCATATTAAGGTGGTAAAATCATAAAGGCAAAGAGGTGAGAACTAAGAAGTTTCATGAACCTGTATGATTGGGAGAGGTACCAATGGGAGTGGCTACAGAGGTGGCCTTGTTTATTTCTTGTTTGGGGTGGGAGTCAGAGGGGTGTTCATTAATTCTTTAGCTGTGCTATGCTGTCTGCACTTTCCTAAGCTTATATTTCATTAAGCTAGAAACAGCAAAAGAACTTATTGACTGTTTTCAGGAAGATTTGGCAGTGCGATGAAATTTAAGGGTAAGTAATTTTAGGTGAAAGAGAACATGTTAGGAGAGAGACAAAGAGGTGCAAGAGACCCAAGGAAAGAATGTGTCAGCATTCAGGTGGGACAGGACAGGAGGACAGGCCTCAAAGGCAGTAGGAATGAGTCACAGGGAGGACCAGACTGTGTGACCTGCAGGGGCTGTGGGAGGACTGGAAGCAAGAGACGAAGCTGCAAGAAGTGGAGTGGAAGCTGCCAGAAGTCACAAGTGCAGCAAGAGGTCACTGAGATATGGGTTCAATGGTATTCTTTGTCCCTGGCTCTCCACAATGTGGAGAATGGGTGATGCCAGATTGCAGTTAAGAAGAAGTGCAGTGGGCGGTGAGGAGGTAAAGCCAGAGTTTGCTGTAGAGGGAGCCACATGGAGCACCAAATGATAAGATGGATTAGGTGGAGAAATTAACTATTTCCCCATGATGATAAGAGGTTGTAGGTTTTTTCATTCTCTGAGGTGTTTAGAGACTTAAAATTTAAGTTGGTTCTGAAGATTCGTTTTCTTTTCACTCTTCCGCTCATCCATTCACTTTAATGAGGCCAAGTTGACAAATAAGTTATGTTCAAAGAGAAGTAACTTATGGGTAATGATATGGTTCACCTGGTGAAGAAAATCCCCATTGGTCTGGGAGGTTGAACTGGCTGCTTCTGGGAAACATTAGGAAAATAGGCAAATCAGGTAGTTCTGCAGGATCAGAATTCCTACAGGAGTTGTTGGATTTGTGACCTCCAAAACGACAACTTAGAAACATTGCCTTTTCCTTTATTGAATACAAATTAAAGTTGGTGGCTGAGAGTTTATTTACCATGCTTTTGTGGGATAGCTTTAGGAGGATATCAATCAACAGTTCTTTTATTTTCTCTTCCTATACTTTTTCTTATATTGTTTCCTATCTTCCTTTCTGTATCTTTTCTATGTCATTTCTTTTTCCTCTTTATGTCATCTTCTCATTTCTTTATATGTCCTTCTGGATTTTCCACTGCCATTCCCTTCCTGCTCTTAACTGCTTCAAATCCTTACTACAAGCCATAGCACAGTGAGCAGTAAGCTGACTCCATGGGACCAGCTTGAAAGACCTTGTCTTTGGGAGGCACTTGCCCTTTTGTGGTAAAATGACTCCTGCTGTGAGGAGATCAACTTCTTCCCCACTCTGACTCCACAGACAGAGCCCAGCAGAAGCAGGGGAGGCAGCCAGGCTGAGGCATCTGCATAGTAACATGGCTGGCAGCAGAGATGAGAGATGGGTGGTAAATCAAGTAACTGTGTATCAGGGATAACATAAGCCAGGTTTCACATTGATGACAAAGAGAATTACAAGATGAAAAATGAAAATGAAATCTGTAGTGTTGGAAGTAGAAGAATGGATGTGAAACTACAATTTTTTAATATTAATACAGATAAATCAGGTGTAAATATTTGTATGCACACGTGCATGCGCGCGCGTGCACACACACACACACACACACACACACACACAACCTCCCTAAACCCTATCTACTGTCAGGAATTGGGAACAGGGACATGCCTGTAGCAATCAGCGTGAACCCAAATCTTAGTTTCTAAGTGCTGTTCTCCACTGAAGGAGCTCTTTGGAGACAGGGATGATTACAGCTCTAGGGCAAGGAAAGTGCAAAATGAGTCTGCGACATCTTTTGGCACCAGAAGCATAGGAACAGCAATGCTTTAAGAATGATGAGGGCATGTCTAAAAACACACTGGCCTGTAGGGGCTCCCGTTGGCCAAACTGAGGATACATGTGACTATGAGACTCAGGGTGTTCAGGATGGTATGGCTGTAGATCATGTGACTATAAAAAAAAAACCAAAACACTGGAACCAATCAGTACCTGTTGAATAGGAAATCCTAAGTCCATACTCATATAGATAACTAAGTGAATACAAGTTTGAGAATATTTCCATGGTTTCAAGTACCTGCCTACAAAATACTTAACTGCAAAGGAACAAAGAGTAAGGTTATAGTAGATACCTGGCTTGTCTTCAGTAATAAAACAAATTGAAATCGTATTCTCTTGATGGGACATAGTGAAGGTACCTCCTCACATAGGTGATGATCTTGCTGTTGGTAGCTGATGCAGAAGCTTCCATTCAAGCAATTCCAGGACACTGCAAAATAACTTGTGTGTAATCTTTAATTGTATCAAAGTTACAAAAGCCAAAGAGAAGCAGATGAGCTATTTCAGACTGAGGGAAACCAAAGAGAAGTAACAACTAACAAAAAGTGTGATTTTGAACTGGATTACTTTGCTATTACTGGAATGGATGATGAAACTTGAGTAGCAGGATCTGAAGGTTGTTGGTAGTGGTGACTTCATGTGACTTTCCTTATTCTAATAGTTACATTGTGATCATGCAAGAGAATGTACTTGTTTGTAAGAAATAATGGAGTCATGGGTCAGTAGTTTGCTCTCAAATAAGTTTGCATGAGTTCTTGCAACTTCTGTTTCAAAATTTTAAAAATAGGGGGTGGAGAGATAGCTCAGTAGAATAAGTTCTTGCCTGGCAAGTGCAAGGGCCTGAGTTCAATCCCCGGTTCCAAAAAAAAAAAAAAAATCAATCAAATGTCACAAGGACTGCCGTGCTGGACCCACCCCCGGGGCACACTGAGATGGCATTTGAGACTGGGCGTAGTGGTGGGACTGGCCTATAATCCCAGCTCTTGGGAGTCTGTAAACAGGGAGATCACTACAAGTGTGATCTAGTAGTGAGACCCTGAACACCCTATAGACCCTTCCCTAAAAAATAAAATAAAATAAAATAAAATAAAATAAAATAAAATAAAATAAAATGGCACATACATTTGGGGGCAAAAGATGCATTATGAAGTAAACACAAAATTCTCTTCACTTCAGGAGAAAGCTCCAGGATTTATAGAAACTTAGTATTTATGATAATCCACACAGGGCTCCCTACTCTCTTGGTTCAGCTCTCAAGAGTCCTGATGGTAAAACAGAGATGCACTATTTCTTGTGAGGGCCCTTGGGAAGCTGCAATGTTAGGTGACAGAAAGTGTCACCCACCTACTTTCCAACTCTCTTGCTAGCAGGAGTCCTGTCCAAACCAGCGAGCCCAGGAACTCAGCCTTCACCTGCTCCTGCTCGCGAATGGGAGAAAGCGAGTGGGGCCTGAAGTGCTCCACAAACAGCGGCTCTTACAACCCCATATCCTCCTGCTTTGACAGAGCAGTGCTGTGCTAGGCTGCCTTTTGACTTTCATGGGATGTGGGGACCCATCTAAAGTGGTGCTGGGAAACAGTCACAGAGTTAGTGGAGAAACGTGATGGGTGTCACACAACTGCACAGCTACTGGCAAATCCACTACCTGGCATATGGGCAATGGTGCTATTTGCAAAGCACCCCACACTCTGCTTGATTAAAATCAAACCCCTAAATCCAACAAAAATGAAGATGATCCCTTTTTTTTCTTGTTATACATCCTTAGATTCTCAGAGCAGGAGTAACAAAGGGATTATTAACTCTTTGGATATCTGCTCCAATCTCATTCTCACAAGGGTGGAGAAGCTAAAGCCTGGAAGTGAATCCTGATCAGTACAAAAGGAACCAGTTGGTAATGTGGAAATGAAGAAAAGCTTGAGGGAGTGGGGGCTTATGCTATCATGGTCCCCGCACAGTACCGCCAAAGCATTTTTAAAAAAATCTTATTCGTGTTATTTCCCTTTGCAGTACTGTCACATTTATACAATATGCTTTTGTCTCTCCTTGAGATTGTCCCTTGAGGACCAGGACCCTATCATGTCATCATTGTGTATTCCAGTGTCTGGTGCAGCATATTTTAAATGCAGAAAGTCAAATGTGTGGAATATCAGGAGCATAAGAAAATTGCATAGATTCAGGATGTGACAATATTTAAGAAATTATTCTGATTATAAAATGTTTTCATGTTCGTGAACTGGAAAAAATTCAGAAAAGTATGAGAAGAAAACCTAAACTTTCCCTGATATTCTTGTCCACAGATAAGCATTTTGGAGTGCTTCCCCTTTGTTTTACACTTAAATCTTATAATTTTAAAACCATCTAGTTCTGTATCTAATATTTTCTGTCTTATACCCTAAGCATTTTTCATGGCATTTATAATGACTTCATAAAACTTCCTCACATTTTTATAATTAGCCATTATGATCTAAAAGATGAAACAGTATAGGGATTTTTATTGGTTTCAAGATTAAGTAATCTTGTTATGTCTCAGAAGTCAGTAAGGGGCCAGGGAGATAGCTGAATAGAATAATGCTTGCCTGGCAAGCGCAAGGGCCTGAGTTCCATCCTTGGTAAGTCAGAAAAGAAACTATTTCACCTGTAGCAGAGGATCAGGAGGGTGGAAGTCCCAGGTTGTTCTTGGGTTCTATTATCCCAAGTCACCTGTAGTACACTTGGAAGGTGAGCTCATGGTGTGGAACATGGATCAGAGGAGGAGAGTTAAAGCGGGGGCAATGCCTATCCACAGACGGGCTGAGCTCTGGACTCACATTTCCACATTTTAAGAAAGACTGGCTTATCGTGTGGCATCTCATTTGGCAGACCCAAAGCTGGCATTGAAGTTACAGCAGCACAATGTTGACTTGGTAAACAAGGGCTGCTCCAGTAGGATGATGCTCTGTGTGGTCTGGTGTCACTGCAGGTTCAAGCAGAGCAGGTGGCCTTCAGAGTTCGAGATACCTGCAGTCTGCTTAGTATTCTGTGACTTGTCTGAGCAAATGGAATGATCTAAATAAAAGCTAAGCCTCTGAGGGTCACAATTTCTAGATTTATGAGTAGCATTAGCATTTGTATCTAATCCAGTCACCCGCTTTCAATTGTGAGCGGCTCAGAAACCTGCCATGGATTTCTTGCTCCCTAGTCACATGGCTGGCAAGAACTGTCTCTTCCTCCCCGCCTTTGGCGTCCTTGAACCTCACAGTCACTCCTGTCGGAACAACAGTGCCCAGGAGGGGGCCTGCCAGCACTGGCAACGCAATGGTCTGGGCTTTGATGCTTACAGATGAAAGCTGAAGAGCAACATCCTCCCTCTAGTGGCTCAAGCTCAAACATTCTCTTGCCCCTCAGATCCAGACCGCACGTGCAGGAAACATGCTGGAGCCATTTTGCAGGACTGAATCCCACTGTGTAGGCAGCAGGTCCCGCAGGAAGGTCATGCACACAGGCTGCCTCCCGCTGTGCCGAGGACACCCCACCACCATGCATGTGACAGCCTGCTTTGCTCCCAGTTCTGGCCTTGAGTGCTTATCACATTGTGCTGCAGTTGGAGGAGGAGCAACTGCCCAGTTTCCTTAAAAACCAGAGCTCTGAGTTGTCCTCCCTTCTCCACCTACCCTATACCTTCTCAGGCTTTTTCTGGAAAGGGATGACAGGTTTGTGACAGGCTGATGACCTTTGTCACTAATCTCCTTTTTGGCTTTCCCAGTGGAGTGAGGCTATTATCAGCCTTTAATATTCCCCCAGCTAAAATGGGAGGTGTGGTGTCACCTTTCTCCTAGTGAGTTTTTTGTTTTGGTCGAGCTCATAAGGTGGAGTTCAGGCTGTAGTGTATACACCTAGTGAGGCTGCCTGTGGGCAGCAAGGACACCAGGGTGCTTCACACACCAGCATGGCGGGGGTGGGGCTCCCCAGCTCCTTTCCCTATCACTCCAGCCTTTTGAGAGGGAGAAATCTCACACCACTGAGCAGACTGCCCAAGCCCCACCTTCCTAGACTCCCGGAATCTTGGAACCCAGTGACCTCAAAGAGACACACCCTCACAGCAGGGTGTGGCTTCTCCACACACGTTCTCTCTTCTGTTGTTCCTGAACTATCTATCACTTTCTCTGAATATCACTCTGCCTTATCTTCTCTCTGGCACGGAAGACGTGCTTCTGAGTGCTTACTGTGTGTAGAGCTGGCAATCTGTGTTCCTCCTCAGCAGACTAAACCAATTTGATGGGAAATATTTGGGGGAAAAAGGCATCTGAACTGAACACGTACAACTTGACACTATTTCCAAGGAGTAATTAGCTATTTATATAGGCTTTACATTGTACTAGTTAAATGACCTACAGATGATTCAGAGTACACAGAACGGTGTAGGTTGGTCATCCGCAAGCACAAGGCCATTTTATGTAAGGAGCTGGAGCACAGGTAGATTTTTCTGTCTGTCGGGAGTTCTAAAACCAGTCCTGTTCTGTATAATGTATCCAGATGGCTGCACCTGGGGATTCTGACCCTGAACTTTAAGATGCCAGGACAAATAGTTAACAAAACCCTAGGTGTTCTAAGACCTACATGGTGTTTCTCCCTTCCCACCTGTGGTTGTAGCCTCATGAAAGAGCACTTACATGTGTAACATGCAAAAGGAGGCCTTAACTTGTATTTTGAGCACTTCTGTCTCAAAGAGATGCCGTTTCCTGCGTCTTAACATCTTTTCCCCGAAGCACTGGTTAATATGAGGGGTCCATGCCTTCTTTTCAAATCCTTCGAGGGCTTTCCTGGCTGTGGCAGGTAAAATCCTCCAAACCTTGTCTAAGTCTCATTACCTAAGTTACACTGCTTAAGTCACACCACCACACTGTAGGGAGGCCCACAGACATGGAGGGGAGTGGATCTTTTTTGTTAATCCTTTTACCACCATGACAAAGCCCCTGGATAGCAGAAAACAAATGCTGTACAACTATATTAACACATTTAATCTACTTTGGGTAGGAGTCAAATTTCCTGCAATAAGTGACTCCCATAAAGCATAAGAGTAGGGGGAAGAAGAGATTTCTGCTCAGCACAAATGCTGCATGGCAGTGGGAGCCTCCCACGAACAGCTAAACAAAGGCATTCAGAAAAAGGCTTTGGTCACAAAGGCTCTGATAAGATCACTCTGATGTCCTTACTCATTTGCTTGCTTACTGAAAGTGGGAGACCCTTTTATTTCAGCCTCCAAAGGAATGAAACACTCAAAAGGGGAGCAGCAAGCAAAGAAGGAAATGGATCTGATTCAGGATAAACTCGAGGCCTTTTCAGGTAAATGGATGCAGCTAGAGCCCATAGTCATAAGTGAAATCAGACCCACATGTGTAAACATTGTATTGTCTGCAGAGTACAAGAATCTGAAAGAGTAAATAAAATCTGAAGGTAAAATACTGTGAAAGGGAAAGAAACTGTTGAAAGGGAAGGAAAACTGGGATGAGGGAAAGGAGAAAAGAAAGAGAAAAAAGAAACATACACATATGCATAGGATAGCTTGGATAATTGTACTGTTGATTTCTGCTGGTCTAATGAAAGGAGCAGCTAGTGCTTACATTTTTTTTCTCCTTTTCAATTTTTATAATTTTTAACCAGTCTTAGAAGATTATATCTGGTAATCTGAACAACTAATTTGAAGACAACAATATGCAATATAACAACAACCACGGTCAAATTCCTGTAACTTTGTTTAGTCAAATTCTGTATCATTTCACACACACACACACACACACACACACACACACACACACACACGTATGTATTTTTTAAACTATTTTTTATTTTCCTTAAAAAATACAAAAAAAGTACTCAAGAACAAAGTGACAGGGCTAGGAGTACAGCTCAGTGATACAGCACTTGCCTAGCATGCAAGAAGCCCTGAGTTTGATCTTCAGCACCATAAAAATCAAACCAAAAGCAGTTGGGTATCTCGGCCTGGATTTTTGCCAACATGAGATGTGGTGTGGTGAAGATGTCTCTGGCCACTATACAGATTTAAATAATCATCAAGAAGAATCTGGAAAGATTTTTCCAATTATTTTCGAGAAAATGTATTCCAAGAGCATACTGAATTTGACATAATTTTCAATGCACTTCTAATCTGCTGAGCTAAAGAAAGAGATCAGCAATAAAATCAAATTCTGATCCATCAGACCCAAAGCTGGCATTGAAGATCGGAAGAGCACACGTCTGAACTCCAGTCACGCCGCAACATCTCGTATGCCGTCTTCTGCTTGAAAAAAAAAACAACAGGAAGAACAAAGTTTCAGAGTTTTTTATTCAAAGGTTCTCAAAAGAAATAAAACAGAAAAAGCTAACAATCTGATCAAATGTACAGTTCAAAAGTGTCTTTTGGCGTTTAACAACAAGTCCTAGGAAAGAAAACTACAGAGTTATCTTGAACCGGACAAATAAGTTACCACTGGCAAGTTTGTGGCACTAGTAAAACAAAAATAAAAAAATTAACTCTCTTGATCATATAGATATCTCTATGAAAATCTTTTTTTTCAATCTGTACAAAAGGTCTTTCTTCATAAATTAATTTTTTTTATAATTTAATGGCTGTCTACTATGTGATGTTTAACTGATTTTCTTTTTCTTTCTTTTTTTTTTATGTACAGAGGTTATGTTTCCCAAATCTTACCCAGACGAGTATGGCACTTAGTTCAGACATTTCTAGCAGCAGATTTCCCCTCCCCTCTAACTGAGCTATCAAATTTCTGTCTTAACTATGCAAAAATATCAAGTAGTGAGATACCCAGGTTTATAAACGTACTAGGTACACAGAGGGTGCTGCGTTCAGTCTGGACTTTCACAAAGCAGTAATATTTCAGGGAGCATAGAACCAATAATACCACAACTTTAAAAAAAGGAAACAAAAACAAAACAACACATTTCTCTTATGACTATGTAATTTTCACTAGATTCTACACTTCTCAGAGCAGCAAGGACTTTTGAAACTATGAAATGTCACTGACATCTATAATCAAATACAAGCAATAAAATTTAAGAACTAAAAAATACTCGAAAGAAACAACTGCTTAGCCCTAGCTCCTGAGCTAGGAGGATTTGGTCTGTGGAAACAGGGAGGGCCAGCAACCTGTCCCAGCACAAAAGAAAATAGACTCTGAGGTAGATAACTGATCATACACAGCTGACCAGACAAGTACACAGTTTTGGAAGACAACTTAATTTACCATTGCTTTTAAAACATATGCAATTGCCTTAATAAAAGAGCTTTAACAGTGAATTATCTCATATGTACTAAAGTAGAAATAACTGTGTATTTATGAATCAGGAATTTCATAGTTTCAAAATTGATTTTCTTTACACTTGAACACTTGTAGTGATGATGTAAAGTGTGGCACTGCTTGGATCCAAATCTTCCTTCATGCTTTTTGTTTGTTTGTGTGTGTCCATACATCAATTAAAATTATAAAACCTAAATGCAAAGGTACAAAAAAGGCACATTCTCCTAACCGCAAACTGGTCCGGCAAAAATAAAGAGCACAGAAGATGTGATGCTGAGACAAGTGGGAGCTACTGGTTACTGGCTCTTCGGTCTTTGGTGAAGTTACCTTTAAAAGTGCCAAGTCATTGTTATTTTTCAAATTTACCTAATAGGGAGAGGGAGAGAAAAGGAGAGAGAAGAGAGAAGGGGGGGGAGAGAAGAGTAGGTGGGGAGAAGGTAGGAGGGATGGGGAGGAGGAGGGGGAGAGACAGAGAGGGAGAAGGGTAGGGGAGAGAGGAAGGAGGAGTAGAAGGGAGGGAGAGGGGGGAGAGAGGGAGGGAGGGAGAGGGAGGGGGGGGAGAGAGAGAGAGAGAGCTAGTAGCCAATCATATTTCTATTCTTATCTCAGCTTATGTTTGAAGAGAAATCCTTACTTTTAGCTTTTGCCATTTTTTTGCAACAGCAACATCTTTCTGTTCGCCAGATCGCAGGCATGATTCTCACCCTAAAGCACTATCATTAGTATAAAGGAAGGACAAAACATTCAGTGACTCCCCTACCCCTCCCCCCACCCCCAGCCCCAACACTACCTACACTAAATCTAGAACATCAAGTTAGTTTTTTTTTTTTCCTGAAAAAAGGCAAAAAAGACTTTACATTGCATCATACAGCAGATATCCTAAATCAGTCAAACTATCAGAGGAAACTGTTGGCATACAGCCTTACAAACAATTTACTCTATTAAAAGTTCCCCAGTCAGAAAATGTGTTTCACACAAAACATTTTTCCCTTCTTGCATTTCACTACCTTACACATTATGTGAAAAATCATTAAAAACACCTACTACATATTTAAAAAAGCCAAAATTTCAGCAACTTTTATTGACTACCTTTTAAAAGCCCTATGCTGCTGTTTTACAAGGCATAATAGACCAGCTCATTGGTCAAAGCATTCTACATCATTAGTTTGAACTAACTTTTACTGAAACAGCTACAGCATCAAAAGAGTTAAGGCAAATTGGAATTCATAGAAAAGGATAAGACACTTCACACTACATTGAAAGAAAAATGGAAAGCTAACAAAAGACATCGACGGCAACACTGAATTACAGCAACACTCGCACGGCAAGCACAGAACACCATGGGTGAAGTCGGACGATTTAAACGTCAAAAAGCCCATTTCGTACAGCTGAAAAAAAAAACACAAATTAAACACAAAATGAACAAAACCACAAAAATCCGGTCATGCACTTGGATAAGTCTTCAATGGTCTTTGTGCATACCCAGAAAACTGAAGTCTTCTTTTCTTTTTCTTTTTTTCTTTTCTTTT